CAGACATCCCCTTTTCCCACTTATGAAATGCGCAACAAAGGCGCTGGAGCTTTGCAAAGGCCACTCTGTATTTTGGTTGTCACAAGAGTAGCAGGCTTTGAACACACTTAGCAAGATTGCTTTCATTTTCGTGTGGAAGAACCACACTAGATCGGTGCTCCGCTGATCGCTTCTAGAAAACCCGGCAAACATTAGACTTTCAGTATTGAGACATTTCTTCAACTGACCGGGGAAGGCATTCAACTTCCCATGGAACTTTGAATGAGACCCAGATATATCGATAGAGCTTCAAACGCTGATTACAAATATGGAAACTAAAACTGCAAAATGAACCTGCCAAGGAAGTTGTGAGCAGTCAAAGTTGGCTGGAAGTAAAGCGTTACGTATTAACCGTGCTAGCCTCCGGGCTTTCAAAGTCGCCGTGGAGTAGTGGTAGTGCTCTCAAAATTTGCACTCCAACGGGAAGAGAACTTATGACCTCCCGGGTGAAGAGCGAGGGCACTACCACTACTCCGCGGCGACATTGAAAGCCTGGAAAGCACGGTTCATATGTAACGCTTTACTTTAGCCAACTTTGACTGCTCACAACTTCCTTGGCAGGTTCATTTTGCAGTTTTAGTTTCCATATTTGTAATCAGCGTTTGAAGCTCTATCGATATATCTGGGTCTCAATTCAAAGTTCCATGGGAAGTTGAATGCCTTTCCTGGTGAGTCTTACTGAAGACAGATTTTGACGGTACCCAGGAAGGCCCGGTTTAGGTTACAATGAATTCTTCAAAAGCCACGAAAAATCAAACTAGACTAATTTTTTGGCAATTCATCACCATGGAGCGACCATTTATCTCTTTCTTTCAGATGTACAAAAATGCTCCTTTCAGTACAATATGTGGTTTTCAGAATCTCACGGAGCTCCGACGCTCGATATCTTCCTTGGCTTTTGTTTTTCTTGCGCTGGCAACAATTCGTCATTCAATTAATTCATTTGAAGCGCCCAGGTCTGCTTTAGTTGTTCAATAGAATATTGGTGGAGTGACTGAGGGACCTGTTCATAATTTTTAAAGTTTCTAGATGTTATTGTTATCTTTCAGCTTTTCCAAGTCGGACAATCCTGTCGCTCATCACCCATCGCTATTGGCACGTACCCTTACTTTCCTTTACTTGCCGGTTTTCCACCTTCGCCTCCTCATCTATCCAAAAACGGTGAGTAATGATTCCCAAACATGACAAAAATCTGATAATATTCGTATATTCAGCTGAGCTTCGACTGGTCGATGGATGCGATACCTGTCATCGTCTCCCCGTTCGATATACGTTTTTTGGTGTCCGCAACATTCTATCTGGGCCTAATTCTAATTGGCTGCGTTCTAATCAAGGCTAGTGGTATTCATGAAGATCTGCTCCGGATGATTAAGACGAAAAAACCGCAAATCAATCGGAGCGGTGGTCGTCCACCACGGAACACTTCCGCTGTCAGATGCATCGAGTCCAGGGTGAGCATAGTTTTTTTTAGTCTTGCTGAGGGGGGGGGAATGGCAGACTTGAGTGCTACCACTATTACATGACTTTATTTGACTTGCTTCTTGTAAGTGTCGTTTTGGAGATGCGGTATCTAACACTGACATCTTTCTCCTTTCTAGTTTCCAGAGAGGGCACATGAAATTTTTCTATTTTTTGATTTCTCCTTTACGATATTTCCTCATTCCTGATTTTTTGCTATGACCTACAGTTGTACAGAGTCATGCTTTCAGGACAGTTCCGGAAGACCCTCCTTGCTTTGTCGCTGCTGGTCCTGCCGTTCATTCCATCATCGAACCTCTTCTTTTACGTTGGATTTGTCGCCGCTGAAAGAAACTCTCTATCTCCCGAGTGTGGGATACTGCATTCTGATCGGAATGATGTACCAGTTTGCTGCTCCTCAAGGTTAGGAAGATCCTATTCGCTAATCAAATTCAGCTCTAATACTTCTACACTTTGATAACACTCAAAAATACGGCCTCAGTGTGCTACTTCTCAATAATTAAGCTCCAAGCAGTTGCTTGGACGGTCTGGTTTTACGTGGAGATTCTCAAGGCCCAGGTTATCGGGTCACCGTTTTGCCCCTTTTGTGTCCGAACCGTTCTGGTTCTCCTCCTCTCCTCAACCTTCAGTTATTCTCCGGTTTTGTCATCATTTATTGAGAATTTCCGGTGCCATCGCAATTTACGGGGCTCTTTCTAGGAATAGGCCGAAGAGGGATCAGCAGCGCCGGGAAAATGAAAATGGCTCACGCACCCGGACTTTCTTCTCCCCTGCTTAAGGCTTCCGTTTTCAACAGAGGAACAAGTTTGAACGAAACTTTTGAACGCGATTTCAAACTTATTGCCCCCGCAATGCCCCTTATCTTGCGAGAGCGCCGAATGTTTTTGTGAAGTTTTCAGGGTTGGCTCGAAGATGGCTATGTCGGTCGGATTCGTCGTTCTCGTTCTGCACGCTATGAGAACATATGAAAGGAATATGGACTGGAAAGACGAAGAAAGCCTCTACAAAAGCGCACTGGAGCTCAATCCTCCAAAAGGTATGCAGGTCCCAAGGAGCGTGCTGTTATGCTCTTTGGCCGGAAATTTCTAAAATTTGAAAAATAAACCAATCCAAAGAGCTTTACACCTCTTGCTCATTAAATCTGCTGCTTAGCAGACACCAAATCGTCTTGCATTCTGATTATTCATAGATTTGTGAAAGCTGGTTTCAGAATTACTGTGCTGTGTTTTTAGCTTACTCGAATCTTGGGAGGGTGTATGCATCGAAAATGCAACTGAGTGACGCTGAAGCGGCATATAGGAATGCTCTTGCATATCGCCCAAATATGGCGGACACGTGGTATAACCTGTAAGTTTTCAATGTCCTTAATGATTTCAACCCAATCGTTCAACAAGTGGGGGAGTGTGGTAGTCGCGGATGGCGCCGCTGCCAGGTCTCTATTGTAGATTGGTCAGTAAAGAATGGAAGTTGAATGCACGGAGCAAGCCAGAATAGGATTGCTCATCAATTAGTCTTCAAAAGCACAAAAAGTAGAGAGCAATCGGCGTCGATCACTGCCTTTTTGATATGCCTTAGTAGCATGCTTAGATATGCTTTTCATACGATTTGGCCTATATAACTTGCGGGTGACAGTGGATGTGAAATTCACAGTTTTATATCCCCAGATAAGTATGGTACCTTCATCGGATAGAAAGCTCAGTTAGCCTGTATGGCGCGCCATCCAAGATTTGATCCCGGACCGCGCGCCTGGTGAGCAGTACCACTCTCCACACACCGTTTTTGCCCATTAAAGGCAGAATTCACGATGAAAAGTTTGAATAAGGGTAGAGGTGGTCAGTGGAGCAGGGATGAAGAAGAAACCATTGAAACGGCCCGAAACCCGAGAAATGGGACCCCTTCCTTGCCCGTTGATTTGCATTGATGCGACTCTCATCGCTGTGCCCTCTTCAACACTACGCTATCTAATCACTCGCCACGTATAGACCTGCGGCGAGTGATTAGATAGTCGGTGGGCGTACCCGCCAACCGCGCCAAGAGTGAGCCATGCTAGATCGCCGAGGTCAAATCTTTCGCTGCCAATTGCGCGTCGGTCAGCACCCTCAGGAGGTCCGCCTGTCTCCCAACTATGCAATTTTCCCTTCTTTGACCTTCGTTCTTATCGTGAAATCCGTCCTTTGAGTTTACTCTTCGAAAACACTGCTATGATGTCCATGAGTAGCAGCACAATGTACCGCATGCTTACCACCGCAAGTCGAAGGGTCAAATACTTTCAAAAGATTCGGTCAAGATACGCGAATTCAGGGGTGTTCTCTACCAAGATATGAAGAACTTCAGCGAAGCGATCAAATGCTATCAAACGGCCATCAAATTTCGAGGAACGTTTGCTGTTGGTAAGTGTTGGTACTGCACATGAACAATTTCACCTACTTTAGACTGTGCGAAATTTCAGTTTCTCGATAAATGAGTAGTTAACGGGATTGCCTTGTTGTCCTCTATGTGTCGCCTGAGAGATAGGATCATTATTCGGATGAAAAGGTCCTCCGCTGAAATCGTAGGACTTCAGCATCCTGAATCTTGGAATCGTTATGAGCGCTGGGCGACGTCAACGTGCAGTAGCGATTGGAGTCATGCGCGCAATAGATTGGTGCTATGGGTCAAGATAAACGAGAACACCAGAACGCTCAAACCAGCTGTCGGTTTCGTCTAGGAAGGCTGCTGCTACAGCAGCGAAATCTACGTGGAGCAAAAGGAGCTTTAGAGGAGGTGAGAAAAAGTATCCAGCTATGTATGGATCCTATTCACTCCAGAGTGGCAGGAGATGATTAGCTGAGTCCTCGTTAATAGTGAGTCTGATCAAGGAATATTTTGCCTTAATGCGTGTCACAGCATCACCTTTTCTCAGGCTCTGATATCTTTAAGGTCTTACATAGAATTGTTCAAATGCACTGAAGCATTATAATCCTTTTTCTCTCATCTATTTTCTTGAATCCATTGAACTGAATGAAAATTACTAGTTTTTTTTTTGAAACAATTTAGCAGCAGGCATGCATATATGAATCTAGTAATTTTTTATCGAAGTAGTTTAGTAACATCTGGTTTCATCATTCCTTTATTTTGGGATCATTTCTTGTCTAGTGAGCTTGAGGAGCTGCTATTATGCGAAAGCTGAATGAGTTATTGTAGGCTCTTCGAGAAGCTCCACATTCCTATCCATCAATCCATTCATTGCTATACTCGTTGGGCGAAGTTGCTGAACTGCTTGGACAAAACGCCAAATCTGAGGTATGAGTACTACGTATTGCACAATCTTACTCGTTTTAGCAGTGAATCCCGAAGTACCCTAAAGGCACGGGTCGCGATAATTTCCCCAGAGTGCCAATAGATTCTCTCCGATGAATGCGTGGCAGAATCTCTGAGCAGGAGTCCGGGGAATGGAACGACTCGGAAATATGGCGCGCGCAAGGACGATCTTTTACTGCTTCAACCTGCTGCCAATAATCCATTTTTCGCACGCTGAGCTCTCCGTATGACGTACTGCTCACACAATCCCTTCTCGCGTGCTTTCATCGAACTGACCGGTTGCACACCAGAAAGAAAGGGTCAGTGAGTTCCCGTGCTTCCATATTCCTTCTGCTTTTTTCCAACAGTCCTCCCATTTTTTTCATTGTTAAGCGGAATAACACCATAATTCGATAGCAAATCGTACCTCTAAGGCTAGGGGTCGGGATTTGGTGCCAATAGCTGGTTTGTAATAGGCGAGCGAGGAGGGTTCCAAGCGTAAGCCTCACAATCGCCGACTCCGGGATCGCTGAAAAAAAGGCTTAACGAGGGAAGGCATTGAACTCCCCGTGGAACTTCGAGTCGAGACCTAGACATATCGATAGAGCCTGGGACAACGGTTAGAACTGCGGAACCCAAAATTGCAGAACGATTCTGCCAAGGAAGTTACGAGCAGTCGAAGTTGGCTACAAATGAGTGCTTTTGGATGAGGATCGTTAGCGTGTAGGTGAGCAGCGTGCTGATGTGGTGTGTGATAGTGTAAGGTTCTCGCTCACGAAAGTGGTCCCTGGTTTCGTTCCCCTGGCCAACTGTTTTTGCAAATCATGTTTCATACCTCATTGAGACTTCTATTCTAGTTTTTAACTTATCCGAGCGAGCACCTTGTCAGAACGTGAAGACCGAGTGACAGATATAGTTGTCGCTATGTTCCTGATGAATATCTTCATTGATAATGGTGTATTCTCCCGCGAAGGTAGTTTGGATACTTTTCGCAAAATTCGGAACAAGAAGATAATAGTCCTGCAACATGCAAAAAGAAAGATTGCTGCAAGGTCCGCTTTTATACTTCGTGCATCGCTGGATCGATATTGTAAAGGGGAAAGATTGGAATCGGATGCCCCAAACGAATCGGAGTGGGATTATTGCAATAACGAGGATGAAGACAGCTCGGGCAAGGCAAGGCAGACAAGCCGTAGAGTGGTAGAGGTATCAAATTAGCTCTCTTTTCTTTTAACTGAACGCTGGGTGTAGAAGAAAGTGCGCACGAAGTTACTTCATCTCAAATCACACAACAAACGTCAATGGTATTAGCATAGCTGTGATTAGGTGCTTATTCAAATAAATGTCAGAAACGAGAATAGAACTCTCTACTGGGTACGGAACATGATTTGCAAAAACGTCGACCGCAGCGGGAACCGAACCCATGACCCGCTACTGTGATGAGCGAGAGCCTTACCACTACACCACAGCAGCACAGTTTCTCTGACACTAGCGAGCCTCATCCAAAAGCACTCATTTGCAGCCAACTTCGACTGCTCGTAACTTCCTTGGCAGAATCGTTTTGCAATTTTGGGTTCCGCAGTTCTAACCGTTGTCCCAGGCTCTATCGATATGTCTAGGTCTCGGCTCAAAGTTCCACGGGGAGTTCAATGCCTTCCCTCGGTAAGGCCTTGCCTGTGTGCTGCCGTGCTGCCATCCTTATCAATCGCGGCATACGTGGTCTCTGCGCCCTCTCACGTACGACGTACTATCTCGCGTTTCCCTCTCCTCGCAGCGCTGTGTCTCTCCGTCATACCACGGCCGCCTCACAAGGGGAATTTAGTGTTTTCTATGGCACTTTTTGCTTTTTCTCATTGCACTCCTTGGCTATTTTCAAACATCATGACACACCAACGAGATAACGTTTCGATCCAGACCCTTGCCTTCAATGAAGAAGTTGGATAATGGGTTTAGGAATTCTAGGAATTTCTAGAAATTCATTTCGCAGATGCCGCATGGATGCATTGCATTTTTTCCATAAGAGGGCCAATTCTGATTTTTCAGCAATATTTTCAATCCGCCTTCCATGTCGCTCCTGCGCACGTGCCGACATTGTTGACAATGGCGCATCTGCGCAATAAGCAGGTAGGAATAATGGTGGCTATCTGAATCTGCTTCGAAGTAATACTTCAAATAAATTATAGAATCGAACATCTGAATCAAATGATTGGTTCTCAAGGGCGCTGGCGGTCGCACCAAATTCTGCTGATGTTCAT